TAAATAAACCATGCCACATTACCAAATTGACTCCACGGTCGCGACTTACGCGGAGGCGATGCATATTGCCGGCGGATGCTGTCCAATTTGAAATTGCACGCTTCTATTTGAAGTAACGTTAGTTCGGAGTTTTAATCTCGTTCTAATTCCGGGAGCTAAATTAGATTGGTTTCAAATTCTAATTGAAATTGAAGAGTCGTTAAGTATTACAACCCCTGATAACTTTTAGGGAAGAGTCGTTAAGTATTACAACCCTATTAACTTAGTGCCAAAAACTCGTCGGTACGCATGCTGATTGGCCGGGATGGCATTCACGAAAAAAAAACATAAAAAGATTAATGGGTTTTTTTCGTCTGAATGCCATCCAACGGCAAGCGACTTTTTCATCGAAAGTTCTACAAGTTCGTTGTCGTTGAGTTATAAAATATGGCTGGAAGCCAGTACTGATAAATTAGATGTTTTTCAGTGTAATTTTTTGGAATAAAATTGTCGTTACCGTTATGTACTGCAATAATTGTATCAAATTACTTTACAGAAAAACACAAAAGTGTTGGCACAATTCATTTTTATTATGACGGCGCTCTTCATTTACCAAAATTGACTCCACGGTCGCGATGCTGTCAGACGCCGTGATAACCGCCATCAAAGCTGACGCAAAGGCCTACTTGCAGAGTAGTGGGTGCTTTCGTGGGAATCCCGACGCTGCTGTCCTCGCAAAAAATACAATTGCACTACTAATACTGTCCGAAATGTCCTAAGCGGCAAGCCCAGATCCGGCCCTCGCCGTGCTATAAAGCGGGCTACAACTACAGTAGTACGCTATGTTAATGCTGACTACATCGCAAGAACCGCGCTACTCCACAGACTTGAGGACAATGCTGTTACGGGAGCTGACTTGGCTTTCTACGCGCTGACAGACATTGCTTTTTTCCGCGCTCTCATCTGGCTCCATCGGCTGCACAAGCGTGTGCGTTATTGACCGGAAGTGGGTTCATTCGTGCCCTTCTGCTATTGAATGCGTCAAGCTGTTGATCAACGCTGGCATTCCTGTCCGCCACCGTACCTATCATGCACTACAAACTACTCATTCTTACATACAAAGACGATATCTTCGTTTCGTCTGGAAGTGCCAACCTGACTAGTGCGGCATGGAATCGCAATGACGAGCTTCTTGGGCACTCCCGCAGTCTTACCCCGCATTTTCAAAATTTTCAAAATTAAAAATAAAAATTACATTAACAACGCACAAAAATAAAAATAAAAATTACATTAGCAACTCACAAGGACAGCCAGTACTGTATCGTTGTGGGAAGTAGGTACACAAATTTGCTGGAGGCCAGTTCACTTTAGAACTCGCTCTCTCGCAACTTCAGCAAAGTCGCCATGCCACGGGAAATGTATGACGTCGCAGAGTGCGACGACTTCTGCTTGGCAGTTATTATGGCGGCTTGCGCCACCGAGGCGGCTGCCATTCAGTGGTGTCTAAAGGTAGGCCTTTTACCTCGCAGTAGAGACTGCCCGTCATGCGGCGAGGCCATGCGCCTCTCCCCGAACGGCAAGCGCTTTAGATGCTGCCGTTCTGGGTGCCGCTTGGAGCGGACGTACAAGAAGGGCTCCTTCTTCGAGGGCCAAGGACTCACTATCCAGGACGCGGTCCTGCTACTTTGGCTTTGGGCTAAACGAGAGCCCAGCACGCACGCACAGCAAATGACGGGCCACAGCTCGCACACTTTGACTGACTGGTACAGCTTCTGCCGCGACATTTGCTCGCGCGAGATGCTGCGCAGTCCTATGCAGGTTTGCTTTTTAAAAGAAAATATTGACTGTAAATATATAATAATTATTGCTAATTAATTTGTTTCAAATAGGTTGGGGGACCAGGCCACATAGTCGAAATTGACGAAACAAGTATCAAGAAAAAGTCGAAGAACAACGTGGGCGCCCGCCACCCTGACTTCTGGCTTTTCGGAGGCGTTGAACGCACGACCAACATGTTCTTCGCGAGCGTCGTATACGAGGATCGCACGAAGCCTCGACTGTCCGCTGAAATTAGAAAATTTGTCCTACCGGGGTACGTAAAATTTACATTAACTACTGTGTTATTTGGCAACTTAATATTTTTGGTAGGTCCCACATCATGAGCGACATGTGGCCGTCGTACGTCACTGCGGACGGACGCCACAACATTGAGAATAATCCGTACCTGGAAGGTATGGATTATTCTCACCAGTGGGTCAACCATTCGACCAACTTCGTGAACCCTGCTAATGGGGCGCACACGCAGCGCATCGAAGGCGTTTGGGAAGTCAG